AGGAATTTTACTTTAGGTCAGTAGTAAAAGATGGTTTCCTTTGGAGATGGAGACTGAGGATTCTCACATTCTAACCAACACCATCTCTTCAGTCTTAATCCGAGTAAGTTCAACAGCAAAAAAACCATCATCCAATAGTAATGTCTCAAAGGATAATGAACTAGGCTAGTTGATAGAGATAGTAGGAACTGCAGATGCTGGGGAATCTGAGATAACATGGTGTAGAGCTGGATGAACACAGCAGGCCAAGCAGCATCATAGGAGCAGGAAGGCTGACATTCATCACAAGTATTTTTTCTGTTGGCTTCAATGTTTCTGTACATATCAATTACTCCTGTACATGGTTGTAGAGATAGATCTTCGACTTGGAATCTAGTGTGACAAGAGAGACCAAGCAGCACAGAACAAGCTGCAAGAAGTGGGAGGAGGACAAGGAAGAGAAACCCGGGCTGCAACCAAAACAATACCATTCTATTCAGGTTATAAATGAAGAATGAATTTGAGTATGATATTGTAACCAATTCATCAACAATCCAAAACTCTTCACCTCACCTCTGTCACTGTTGATAACACTGTCCATAATGGAAAAAAAAGACAGAATTAAATTTATAAATTGAACCACGACATATTACGTACGAGTTGAAATCAATCATCCTTGTCTACTCCTGTCTATTGGGTGCCTTTGCCTGTCATAGCGTTTCTAGAGAGTGTTGCCACAGTAGCTTTGGCGTGTGTGACAGAAGGTGGATGAGTTTCAGTGTAGGAGGATAGTGAACTGTGTAATTACATTTGATGTTGTCTGTTCCTACATGAAAGGACCCACTGGCATAAACTGAGGGCAGCAGGGACCTTGCTGATCACTGACACCATTGTTCTCTCCCTGCTGTGTGGCTTCAGGTCACATTGTAGAAAGTAGCACAGTGGAGGGACACCTCCAAGTTGAAATATAGGTGCCTGAGGCACAATTCCTGGGGACAGAGGTGGTCCAAGAAGTTATTTGGCCCATTGAGAGCCGTCCTCCTTTTCCCTCTGTGTATTGCTTCCCCTTGCTGTTCTCCATTTTCATGTAATGCTGTACCCCAAGTGGGGAATGCAACTTTAGCCTCCATTGTCAGACAGATTTTCTCCTGGCAGATCAAATAATTCCTCTGAACACCTTATCAGGGTTCAAAACCACCTGCTTGAAAAATTAAAATGTTAGCAAAACTCCTCTCACAATATCACAAGGTACTTCCACTAACTATGCAGCAGTAAGAGTAAAACAAATCAGCTGGACATTGGACGCTTGCTTTGTTTAAAGGACTAAGATAGTCACCATTCCATCCACAGCACAATTGAACATGTGATAGTTTCAGCTAGGAATGACCGTAAGAGGGCATTAACTGGGCTTGCATGGAAAAGTATTAGCCTGTGTTGGCACATTACAGATCCCAATTTTGAGGTCTCTGAATGGAGAGATGTTATGACCCACTCGGGAAAATGCAATGATTCGTAAGTCTGCGGTCACCACAAGAGTTAATGGTTCAATCAAAGTACGCAGAGAACTTAAGAATTATTATTTATCACAAATGAGTAAATTCTAATCACAAGTAAGCAACAATGAAGTTTCAACTTGTGGTTTGACTGGATAAAATTCTAAACCACTTCCAAAACCCCTACACACATACAATGTAGAAGTGCAGCAACAACCAGGAGAAAAACAAACAAGCATCAACTAGTTCTGAGGAAAGGTCACTGAACCCAAAATGTTAACTCTGAGTTCTCTCCACAAATACTGCCAGCCCTGCTGAGCTTTTGCAGCAATTTCTGACTTCTTTTTTTAAAATCAACGAGCCTAATTTATTGTCCTTTTAGACAATGGTTTGTGTTGAACCTGTCTCAGATTAAGATTTAAGAGGTGTTGGCTGGAATGTTGGAATCCTCAATCTCCATCTCCAATGGAAGCCATGCTTTACTACTGAGCTGAAGCAAAATTCCAAGGTTTCAGTCTGTAGAAGTCTTACCACTGCTACTAAGAGCTGACAGTAGTTTGCAGCTACTGTCAGCTCTGTAGGAATTGTTAGTGGTACCCAAGCTCACACCACTACTTATTCTCTCTACCCCTACTCCAGTACTTACCCTATCAACCCAGACCTCTTCAGTCTCACTCACCCAGACACAGACAAACAAAAAAATACCATTGGTTTTATGGTTAGATTGAAAAACTGTGGGAACCACAGTTCAAAGGATTCTCTGAGATAATCCCTTTGCTTGCTAGAACTTTAATTCTTCAATGTGTTTTATCCAGGTTCTTTTCACTTTTTTACAGGAGGCACAGGTGACTGGTACACAACTGTAACATGTCTTTGCTAGTGGGAAAAAATAACCAGGTTTTCCATTCCAGATATTTTACTGCAGAGAGAGACACTTTAAACTGCTCTTCCAGAGGTCCAAAGGCTTCTCACTGTATTGTTCACACCCACAAGCTGTTCAGCTCCCCAGCAACCGATCACAGAGTTGACATCAGGCTGATGACATTTGACATCCATGATGGGACATAACTGCACAAACCAATCAGCTATTTGTTGCAGGCCAAATCTTTACTCTGTACACATACACAAACAAAGACACACACACGCGTGCATGCAGTAGGCCGTCTATTTACATCTTTCCACACAGCTTCCAAAGCAACAGTATAAACGTGACTCACTGAAACTCGTTGTAGTGTGCTTTTAAAATTGCAGCAATTTCTTCCATATTCCTTGCTTTAAAACTGTCATTTTTTTTTCCATTTCAGTCCAATCGGATGTACAGAAAATAAAGTGATAGTCTTTAGAGGTGAAACTGCTACCACTGAGATACATCCGAGATCAAAATGTTTCAACTGCAGTAAGTAATCAGTAAGAGGCAGCATCTATGGAGGTCTGCCACAGTGCATTATCCCAACAGTACGTGTGAATGGCTATTTGCTTATTGTAATAGATTTATGAGTATTAAAGTGATTTGAGATTTATTCAAGTGAGGTTTAAATGACAGTGTTTCTTTGAGGTCCTAGGAGAAGTGTGATTTTTCAAGTGCAGTCTGAACAGATGTTTGTTTATTTTGATAGTTTTGTAACCATCTCAAAGACTTCCCAGTATTCTTATTGGGTTCATTAATTCTATATATATAGTGAATGTTAGGTAAGTGGTTTTGAAGGGGCTATGAGAAATGGAGATGCACAGTGATTATGGAGGGGACATGTAAAGGTGTGAAGGAGCACGCAGGGTAATATCTAGGGAAGTAATCGTCTTTAACTACGCTGATATTCCAGTCAATGAGGTGGTCCTTCTTAGCATCTACCTTAGCCTCCACCCACCTCCTTTCAAGCCTTGGACATGATGCCTGAGGTGGTGAACCCAATTCCAACACAACCCTGATTCTGTGTGGGACAAAGAACATGAACATGGTGGTTGGAATAAGAGTCATTAACATGATATCAAAAAACAGCCTGACTGTAGACATGCATTGCACCTTGTAGTGAACGAATGATGGCCTCAGAAATGTCATTCTGTTTCATCATTTCATCTGCAACTTTACTTTAATACAATGGATGAGCCACTGACATGAGAGGCATCACTGATTGAGCACATGCCCATAACTCAAGAAGGAATTTTGTGCGATAAGACTATATTTTTGTTTACAAAATAACAGGAGGGAGTATCATTAAAAACAGATGGCTTAGCAAAACTAAAAATTCTTCCTTAGTAGCACATATTTCAACATAAATATTCCTATGTTATTCTTTATTCAGTACACATTCGATGAGTTCTGATGGCCTTTGCAGCTGACACTGAGGAGTTTTGCATGGAATAGTCCTCCGTGCTGTTTTTGCCTCCAAAGCTACTTCAGTTATCTCCCCAGGTATTTTCACTATTCTCCCCAGGCAACTTTGGATGGCAGCAGTATCCAGGGGTTGTAATTTATTGTAGGGTATGCCTCACTCACCTTTCCTCTACTTTGCAGTGTTCTTCTTTTTCCACTAAAATTGGACATCAGCACATACCCCTACAAAATATTCAAACTGAGCACTTGCCCAAAAAAAACCTCTCTTAGTCACCTCTGAAGGAATTCAGGTGATCAGAACCCATTCCAGTTGAACCAATGTGCAAAAGAAATCCTATTAAAATTTGGTAACTCAAATAGTCTCTCTGAAAAGTTTCTTCAGGTTCCACATGCCAAAATAAAACAGTCTACATGGGTGGCACGGTGGCTCAGTGGTTAACACTGCTGCCTCACAGCGCCAGGGACCCAGTTGCGATTCCACTCTTGGGCGACTATTTGCTTGGAGTTTGCACATTCTCCCCCATGTCTGTGTGGTTTCCTCCAGGTGCTCTGGTTTCCTCCCACAGTCCAAAGATGTGCATTTAATTGGATTGGCCACGTTAAATTGCCTATAGTGTCCAAGGATATGCAGGCCAGGTGGATCAACCATGGGAAATGCAAGGAGAGGGTGGGTCTGGGTGAGATGCTCTTCAGTGGGTCAGTGTGGATTCGTTGGGCCAAATGGCCTGTTTCCACACTATAAGGATTCTGTGATTCTACATGCTTGGTACATATTGTGCTTTATTTCTAAGTTAGCCTTGGTGTATTATAAAGAGATTGGAATTGAGGACCTTAACACTATTATTCTTCACTTCCCCTTATGGCAATGAACTCCCTGCAACATAAGCTAACACACAGACTGAAGATCTTCGATCAGGTCAGTAATAGCAATGCTGTCATAATGGGTTGGAAATAAATGCACATCCAGGACTCGGCCATAAAAGTACCCACATGCTGATTTTATGAGCAAACTCACAAAAACCAAGTAAACTTGACACCGATGTTTTCTCCCCATTCCTTAATAAATGTTTTGTCAGTGAACAGAATTAACTGTTAAATAAGTTTAAACAACATAAATATTTGGCAATTTACAATTCTACTTGCAACAACTGATTTCTTTTTCGCTCGACGTTACCAGGATAATGTATTTTTCATACCTTCCACTAAGTAACAGGCCAGACACCACTGCCAATAGGATCATACCCACTGCCACGGAGACTGCAATGATTGGCACCTGACTCTGAGCACTGGCAGGTAAGGCTGGAAACAAAAGAAAATGCAAATTTCACAAACGCACGAAGAAACTATCCTGACATGCTAAGAGTTATTAAAAGACACCTTATTAAAAAGTAAAAATCTTGATGCCAGAAATATATTCCACTTGACAATGCTGAATGAAGAGACTCTTCTACTGTGAACATTGGAATTGAGTAGATGACCAGAGTGTTGTTTCAGGGATATGAAAGGATAATTTGCACGTATGAAATATTTTTTTCTGCAACAGTAAATTTTCTAAGTTTCTAATAAAATCTTAATCACTTAAAAAAAAAGCATTTTAACATCAATTCCTAAGAAAACTTCATTCAACGTTCTGGAAAGCTCCCTCATTGCATTTTGGTTGGGTTTGGCTGGACTGATATAGATTTGCCATGTGTTAGATGGTGGGGAAAAGAGGTGGGAAGGACACAATTCCGAGATACCTGCCTCTATTCCTGTTGTACTGCATTATTAAGAGTGTGGGTTAAAACCGTGCACATAGCTGCTAACTCTATTATGGGAGTGGCAATTTCAGGCCCCTGCCATTTTCAGGGAGTCGGGTTATTACTGAAGGAGGCGTGGCTCACCCACCAGCTCAGGAATGTGAACTATGGTGGAAGGCTATTATGGCATTGGAGACTTTTTGACAGATGGTAAAGGATGGGGGGTCTAGGAGATGCTGTCAAAGAAGTCCTGATGATTGCTACAGTGTATCTTACAGACAGTACAAATTACAGCTGTGCACACCAATTGCGATGGGAGTGAATATTTAAGGTGATAGATGGATGTCAATTATGTAAGCTGCTTTTTCTGGCATGATGTTGAGTTTCATGAGTACAGTTGAAACTGCACTCATCCAGTTAAGTGTACTGCACCATATTAACACATACAGACATAAGAAATAGCAGCCAGAATAGGTCACTTGGTTCCCCAAGCATTATTGAATGTTCCCATCATTCAATAAGGCCATGGCTGATATAAATCGAGGCCTCACCTTCATTTTCCTGGCAGTGTATCCTCCCCTTCCCTCCCTAAATAAACCTTAACTCTTCACCGTTCAAAAGCTTAGCTAAACCTGTCAGTCTTGAATATATTCGCTGGATGAACCTCTACTGTTCTTTGGGGAAAAGAACTCTAAAAATTAACAACATTCTCCAAAGAAGAAATTCCTCCTCATTTCCATCTTAAATATGAGGCCCCGTCTTTTCAAATTGAGGTCACCCTCATTTTTCTCAACTCCAATGGGTAGCAACTCAGCTTAAAACCAGAATATGTGTGATTTAAAAAAAACTCACTTCCCTTAAGGCAATGAACTCCCTGCAACATAAGCTAACACAAACACTGAAATATTTTTAAAAGAAATTCTACAAAAACATAAAAAAGTAATGAAATTCATCAATTTTGTGGCGCAAATGTTCTCACCAAGCTGCCCCACAATAGCTCTTTCCTTAGAACAATCTCTACCACTGATAGCTAAAAACACCCAAACTATGGTAAACTTGGTTGCTATAGCAATCACAGAATTCCGACAGTGCAGGTAGAGGCCATTAAGTCGATCGATTCTGATATGACCCTCCGAACAGCATCCCGATCTTCGGAACCCCTAATTTCCCATGGCTAATCCACATAGCCTGCACATCCTTATCGTCATGAGACAATTGAGCACGGCCAATCCACCTAACCTGCACATCTTTGGACTCTGGGAGGAAACTGGAGCACCCGGAGGAAACCCACGCAGACACTGGGAGAATGTCCAAACTCTACACAAACACTGACCCAAGGCTGGAATCGAACCCAGGTGCCTGGTGCCGTGGGGCTGCCCTTAAATCGCTCAGTTGCTGTTACTTACATATTGAAGAGCAGAACTGTCGAGGCTGAAGCAAGAGGCTGGGTTTTCCTGCCCCCATGATGGTGAGCTTGTGAGCGGGAGGAGGTGGGAATATAGGGGCAAGCAATATCAGTGCACTTCCTCAGTGCATTCTAGAGGGTGGAGGGCCGTCAGAGCCCAATAGCTCTAGCCCTTAAACTTGGATATCTAAGGTAACAAGGTGTGGAGCTGGAGGAACACAGCAGACCAGACAGCATCAGAGGAGCAGGAAAGCTGACATTTTGGGTCAGGACACTTAATACCCCTTAGATGTCTAAGTGCCTTCAAAGGCCCTCTTGCATTAAGGCGGCTTTGCATTTTCTGACCTACCTCAGCAGCTCCCAAATCTCCTGGTCGTTTAATGGAACAGCAAGCAGGAGGGATCCAGTTACAAGGATATCTCCAAGAAGACCATGCTAGCCGGAGCACTGCCAATAAGTAAGGGGCCAGGGACGGGAAAATTCCTCTCAAGATCTTCTTCTGCACCCTCACTACTCTTCAAAAATAGATGGCCAATGGAGGAAATTTGAGACTTTCGCATTCTCAAAGGAACTGGTGTGTTTAATTGTTTATACATGTCTTGGTCTTGATGTATCTCAACTGTGCAAACACAGAAATTGACTGGAACCTTTCACAAATAGCTTCATTTCTCACTTCTTGATGGAAATACCTCTAAGTCTCGGTTGCTATTCATATGTATTACCACCATCATTCCTCTTGCACCAGAATCCTAATGTAGTATTTAAAGTGATTATTTGCTCAGATTGCATTTTTAATCTTTGCACCTAGGCTCTGTCAAGCTGCCCATAAAATGACTGACACTTTAATTTATCGATTCTCTGAAAGAATGTTTAACTGCAAAGGCAAGGCTGGCTAAAGCTCACATTCTTCACTGATCTGCAGAAACTTTCTTAGCAACTGTCAGGAATGACAGCAAATAAAATGACTTACAGACTGGACCGGTTTCAAATTCAAATTTACGGCTGTAGCCCCCGTAACCTGCTGCTGTGCGAGCACGTATCTGGAAGATGTATGCCGTGGTGGGTTTCAGGCCATCAACAGCAATCTCAGTCTCTTTGGATTTAATGATAGTGTAGCTGGACTCCTGGGCCTTAGAGATAATAGAATACAAAAGTAAGTGAACATCTTGCCTGTCATTTCACAATGGCATTACAACTTGTTGATCATGAGTTAAACGTTTCTCTAATTAGTACACCAGCAAAGGTCCCAATTTTTACCTTCGCTAACTGCCATTTCTCAGCATCATTTAAAAATAACATTTTACTTGGAATCGCGTTGCCATGTAATAATGACCAAATATTTTTACATTGAAAGTAACGTTTGGCTTTGACAAAATGCTTCCTTTATTTTGTTCTGTTGTCGCCCCAAACCCTTATGGAACGTACATCATAAACAAAAGTTGTATTGACAATTATGTCCTGTTGCCTCCAAATCTTTGGTCAATCACCTTAATTCCACGTTCTCTTGATAAAACGTAAATATTAATTCTAAGCTCATGAAGAATCAAGGTAACAAAGGTTATTTCTTCCATTCTTTGTAAGCAATGTTCACATTTCTCAGGCCACTACAGAAGAACCACAAGCAGAACAAAACTCCCTTAATGGTGTAAGGATCAAGGTCTTTGCTGATGGTCATAAACTAATAAACCTAGGGCACACGACTAGCATCCTGACAGCTAGCACATAAAGAAGATTTTCACCCTATTGGTAAATAGATTTTCACCAAGCCCTGTGGGAGAATGGGATTTTAACTCACTGCACCATTTTGTTTAATGAATAATTATTGTTCACTGATTAATGACATAATTTAAGTAGAATATGCACGTTGTTATTCAGGAAACAGCTGTTTGCAAGATCAATACAAGTGCAAGGTTGGAGAATCGATTTTTTTTTGACTGCGGCAACTATTATAAGGCAGGCTTGCATTTTCCCATAAACAAAGTCACAGGGCTCAATGTTAAACGACTGCGCCCTCACCCCGTATCCCACACTGAGTAGGAAAGAGTTGGACTTGCAGTTTCATCAAAAAATTTAAAACAGAGAATTTGTCTGCAAACACTGTTGCTGCCATTTTCTTGATGATGAGTTTTGTGGTTTGGAGTGGCTAGTCGCTTCATTTATGGATTAACATCAGTGATCAAGATTAAAATTCCACTGCTATCACTTGAATTTCCCGAAATCCCAAAAATGAGGGTATGCTGAAAATTGCTGGTTCAATAGGTGCCATTTTGCAGCATTTCTTGTGGATACCGAGCTGCAAGAGTCTGCTCTCTGACACCTTAAGAGACACTTTAACCTAATCTCTACAAAAGCCAGCTTTAATACTCATTTTGTTACAGCTGTAATTATCTTTTCGATGTCATGACTACAGGCAAGATCCAATCTCTGGCCTTCTGCCCTCCTGATCATGTCTCTTTTATTTCTCCCACAGTAAACCTCTGACCCCAGTCCTGATTGCCTCAATCTCTCTCTCTCTCTCCTGTAAAGCCTGATTTCTGTTCTACCCTCTGCATCGCAAAATCACCTCTTAACTAGCCATGATCTCCAACTTTAATCCATGCCAACTAATAGGGATTGGCCCCAAGAGATCCCAGTTAATATCGCTAGCTTCTGGTTTCCCTATATGGTGACTGGTCTGAGTGTCAATTTAACAAGCAACCATTGCAGGATTGGAAGAATAAATTAATTGAGGTCCAGCCTTAGATCCCAACATGCTCCTGGCCCCTTTTGCCCTCCCTTGCCATTAATATCACAGTCATTGACTTCAGGATCTATTCAACTTTTGAAAGTGAAAAAGAACAAAGATCATTCCAGTCAGAAAGGAAGATTCTAAAGCAATCAACTGGCATTGTTCAGATCTTGAATTATTGCTCATGTTCACAATTTTTTTTTCATATAGCAGAAACTCGAGCATTTTCTGACATTGCTCTATTGAGAGTTGGGCAAGAGTTTTTACTCTTTTTTCATAAAACAAGCCAGAAATGGTAGAAACTCTATAATGTATATTTATATTGCTATTGTGTACTATAATGGTGGTTCTGAAGGGGTCAATATTCATCGGACTGGCTCCACCATTTTACTGAAGCCACAAAATGATCTGCAGGTGGAAGCAAGGAGTTCTACGCTGGTATTTGGAAGGAGCAGAAAAAAATGTACCTGCTCTCTAAAATTCTAGTAATTATACCTGATCAAATGTATTTATAGTTAATGCTGTCATGCAATAAACCTTATTATCTATCAACAATGACACTTCAGTAAATAGTCTATGAATGGTGTATACTCCATCTGATCACTGGTTAAGCCCAAAGCCAAGCAATGTCAAAGCAGGATTATTAACGGTGAACTACCTCAAACACCCCTTATCCTATACCACATACTGGTAGAAGTAGTAAATACTATAAAGGTACCAGCAGTACTCATCTGGTAAAGTACCAAATTTTATGTCTTTTGCCGGGACATTTTTAACCACTAAGAAATTTTTTAAAAATACATTCCAATTGTTCTGCACGTATGACATTATTGGTATCAGAATTTACGTCAACTTCTTATAAACCAATTTATTTATAACCATACTTCTGAACCAACAATTCAGTGACAGTGGTTATAAATCATTGACCCAACATCAGTGATTATCAATTGCTATACCAATAACAGTGTTTGTCAAAAAATCTATACCAGTATTTATCACGGAAGAGGAAAATACACAGGCATACAGCAAGAACAATGAGCACAGTTTCTTTTTGACCAGTTTGCTCATACCTTTTCAAAATACTTGATCTCATACTCCAGTATGATGCCATTTGGTCGATTTGGTTCCTGCCAGGACAAGGAGATGCTATTTTTTGTGACCATTTTCTTTTTCGCAACGGTAATTGGTGAAGGTGCTATGAAAACAAAAGTAATAAAAAGCACATTATTGACCCAACGTGGAGAATAAAATAACTCTAAATTTGACTTTGCTTGGTTTTCAATTTGGCATCTTCAACTCTTCAGATAAACAGTATATTAAATCAGAGGATCATTGATATGCTGCTCTGTGTGCTGAACAGAATGAAAATAATCTGCTGCTTTTACCACATAGACAAAGATTGTAAACATATTCCAAACCATAAAAATCACATTGCAGCAATTCTTTCTGGTTAAAGAGGTAGCATAGCTTGCGTACAGCATCAGAATTCTCACAACATTGGTCACCACTTAAACATCAAAATTTGAACTAAAATGTGCCCTTACTGTAGCTTGTAACCCTTACCCTATTAAATGCAAAGTTCATCCCGATGTAAACAATATATGAAAAAATGTCTTTGGTTCATAGTGTGCAATCAAAAAGTTTCCATGTTTGGTCTCACACGTGACTAAGGTGAAAATTTATTTTTATTACAAACCTCATTGAATACTGCAGTGATTGTAACCAGATCACAGGCGGACCTCATAGAATATGAGTTCCCTGACTGGGGCTGTTAATCTGGTCCAATTGGGGAGTCCTGGCTGACAGATGTAATTGGGAGTGTCAGAGGTTCTGTTCACTCTGAGGGCTGCCTCCAAGGAATCTGTCCAGCGTCAAGTTTTATGCATGTGTACATAAAGGATGACTTGGTGATGGAAGACCGGCCTCTGTGGAATTATTTCAAATACATCAACACCACCTTCTCAAGGGCAACTAGGGACAGGAAACAAATTTTGGCCAACCAGTGATGCCCATATCCCACAAGTAATTTTTTTTTTAAAAAGCTTGCTTAACGCAAACTACTTCACAAAAGAATAACATTGACCCAAAAATACTTTTTCTTCATTCCTTTCAAATAGACTGAATTCCGCTAGGAAACTGCAACTTTCTATGGCACATACTTTTTGCCCCTTCAATTTCAGCTACAGGAAGCAAACTAGGTCAATCTTGCACAAGCTGTTGGTTCAGTTTAAGAATATAGTTTGTGATGTACTAAGCTGTATGAACAATAAGGTTTTGACTTAGTTTTGGGAATAGCTTCAACATTTATGTGAGGCTAAGAAATTAGCTAGTGACTCACGCCTTTTCACTGGCTTGTGACTTCTACTGAAAATAAATACCTAGTGATGACAGTGTAAAAAACTGATTTTCATTTCTCTGTATTATGGGCTGAAATGAGAAAAGGGAATTTAAAAAAAAACAGGATGGCAGGAGGATTATTGCATGCTTGCAAGTAAATAATCTGATACTCATTGCAGTATCATACATACAGTTACTTATGAACCAAAAACTGAAGTGCAGTTTGTACACGAGCTAGAGCTGAAGGGTTTCTTTTTTCACAAACAGAGCTCTGGATGGCAACAAGTAGCAGATTTGTTCATGGCCTATAATTGGAAGGATATTATCAAGCTGGAGAGGATTCAGAACAGATTTACCAGAATGTTGTCAGAAATGGAGGGCTTGAGTTATAAGGAGAGGCTGGATAGGCTGGGACTTTTTTTTACTGGAGCTTAGGAGGATGAGGGGTGACCATACAGAGCTTTAAAAAATCATGAGGAGTACAGATAAAGTGAATGGCAGGTATCTTTTCCCTCAGGTTGGGGGCATATTTTTAATGTGAGAGAAGAAAGATTTGAAAAAGACACGAGGGGCGTTTTTTTTTTAAAACAGAGTGTGGCTCTGTGTGGAATGAACTTCCAGAGGAAGTAATGAATGCAGGTACAGTAACAACGTTGAAAAGATACCTGATAAGTGCATGAATGAGAAATGTTTGGAGGGTTGTGGGCTAAATGCAGGCAGTTGGGACTAGTTTAGTTTGGGACTATGGTCAGCATGGACTGTGTGGATCGAAGGGGTTGTTTCTGTGCTGCACGACTCTAGTGACAAGCTATTGATGACAAAAGCGTACTGCTCATCAACAACTATGCAATTCTTTTTCAGGTAGCTAAACAGCTTGGGGCTGTGAACAAGATAGAAAGATGCCTTTGGACCACCACCAGCCTAGGAGTTTGCTCTTTATTCTCTGCAGAAAATGCTCTAACATTTCGGAAAAGCAGTTTATCTTTTCCATCAGCGGTTGTTGTAAGCTGCGACATTTAAGTATTAAGATAGACACCTTTTATCAGTGAACCAAACACTCTGTGCATCTTGCAAACCAATGGAAGATCTTGTGAAGGAAGACTGAGGAGCAGAATTCTGACCAGCACAAGAATCATTGGTATCATCTCAGCAATCCTTGAGAACAAGGAATCACTGATACGCTTTCTCAGTTTCTTTTTCCTCCGTCCATAATCTATGTGTTCTTTTCCTGTCTGTGTAAAGGGAATTATAAGGAGATTATAGTTTTAATTAGTACAGTTATATACCAGTGGCTCATAAGTGTTTCTAGACTAGCTGTAGCTAGATTCTAATTACTTGTAATTGATAATAGATGTTGTTAACCTGGTCCATGCTTGCTCTAAAAGACATTGAGGAATTCTGTGTACATTTTGGAAAATCTTTAACTTCTGTGATGGCTCTGGCAAAAGCTTGATTTCTAACTTGCTACTGCAGTAAGTTGTGACAACAGACAGAAAGCTGTGGTCTCCCTCTCCCATGACTGACTATCCAGCTGATTAGGGGAAGTGTGAACAAATGGCATCTGTGCAGTGTACCAAAGGGTTGTCAATAGTCAAAGGAGCTGTATCCCAGCAAGAGCCTGCAGGACACGTAACTGAAATATTTGTTTATTATAAATAATCTGTCTAGTTACAATGTGCTGCTGTGCAATCTGTGAACACCAATCCTAAATAAATGCACTTTTATTTTCTGTGAATCTCAATGTATCTCAGTGTGGTGGTTCTCGCTGAAATATTGTCTGATCACTAGTAAGTTCCACTCAATGACTACTATCATTGACTGTGCCTGAGGTGTTGAGTATTGGTAGGCTGACAGATCACAGAAATTCCATCTGAATCTAACTCAAACTTCCATGCACTCTTTAAGTATCGGATTAGCCACTGTCTGGTCCATAGGCCAGAACCCGATCCACTGAGAGTCACTATCCAGCTCATGCAGCCAATGTCCAAACTACAAGAAAGTAGAAGTGAGAGATTCTATAAGAAATTGGTCATCCAATGATAAGCCATTTCTTTGCCTCTGCTGATAGGATTATAGGTCTATCAATAACAAATGTGGCAGAGAAACATTCTGTGATTGGAACAGAAAGCAGTGCGATTGTGAGCAGTTCCATTCAGCCTGAGGCCTGAATACAGGAATGGTGAGGAGAAATTTGAGGAAGACACTTCACAAGAGACTCTGTGCTACCTGTTGAGTGAGGATGTGGGGGAAACATCCATGTTGCTGGCTAAAGCAGTGTAGGGACACATGGTCCCCATCCTTCTAAGTAGGTGCTGGCTCCAGCTGAGAGGGTTGAGTGAATCCCCAGGCTCAGGAATGGTCAGGGAGTGAGAGAGGGGGGTGGTGAGAAAAATAGTGAGGGACAGAAGAGCAGGAGAAAGTGTTTTAGAGAGAGGAGGAGACGAAAATGAGAGAGAGTAGGAGAAGGAAGAGTGAAAGAAAGACAGGAGGGGGAGAAAGAGAGAAATAGGGAGCAAGATGGGGGGAATGGAAGACAGTATGAACCACAAGGCTGCACACACGCGCCGATGCCTCTCCCCGCAAACCTAATAACACATTAGACCGGGAGAGGAAGAAACACAGACTGAAGGCACCAATTGCTAAAGTTCATTGCTGTATTCCGATTTTTTTGCCAGGCCAGCTCGCTGACTGTGCTACCTGTGGCAAACAGTGCTAGAGTTAGTTCCTCATCTCCCCAACCTTTTCTCTTTCCTGCTTGCCAAAACTGAGCGCCCAGTCAGTTCTCTCTAGCTCTTTTTTCCAAGTAAAAATGCTTTATTAATTCTCTCTACCTCTCAGCAATATTATTAGTATTCTTTATTACTTGTTAATATTAAAGAAAGAAAATTATTATTTTGACAGTTTGTTGCTCACGAATTATTTGCTTTCTTCATACCTCTACATCTATATTGAAATTCAAGCTTAATGCATTCACACAACTTCAATCCTTATGAAATTTTTTGTTTATTCATTTATGGGATGTGGGCGTTGCTGGCTGGCCAGCATTTCTTCCCCATCCCTAGTTGCCCTTGAGAAGGTGATGGTGAGCTGCCTTCTTGAACCACTGCAGTCCACCTGCTGTGAGTTGACCCACAATGCCCTTAGGGAGGGAATTCCATAATTTTGACCCAGCGACAGTGAAGGAACGGTGATATATTTCCAAGTCAGGATAGTGAGTGGCTTGGAGGGGGATTTGAAGATGCTGGTGTTCCCATATATCTACTGCCTTTGTCCTTCTAGATGAAAGTGGTCATGAGTTCGAAAGGTGCTGTCTGAGGATCTTTGGTGAATTTCTGCAGTGCATCTTGTAGATAGTACACACCGCTGCTACTGAGCGTCGGTGGTGGAGGGAGAGGATGCTTGTGGATGAAGTGTCAGTCAAGCAGGCTGCTTTGTCTTGGATGATGTCAAGCTTCTTGAGTGTTGTACTCATCCAGGAAAGTGGGGAGTATTCCATCACAGTCCTGACTGTGCCTTGTAGATGGTGGACAGGCTTTGAAGAGTCAGGAGGTGAGTTGCTCGCCACAGTATTCCCAGCTTCTGACCTGCTCTTGTAGCTACTGTGTTTATGTGGTGAGTCCAGTTGAGTTCCTGGTCAATGATAACCCCCAGGATGTTGGTAGTGGGGGATTCAGTGATGGTAACACTATCGAATGCCACTGGGCAGTGGTTAGATCGTCTATTACTGGTGATGGTCACAGCATGGCATTTGTGTGGCATGAATGTCACTTGCCACTTGTCAGCCCAAGCCTGGATATTGTCCAGATCTTGTTGCATGTGAACACAGAATGCTTCAGTATCTGAGGAGTCCTGAATGGT